CTGTTGCTTAGTGACTGTATGAATCCCCTGTATTCTAAATGCCACCTTCTGAACATGCTCTTCCTTTGTCACAAGGCCCTGGCTCTCACTGCTGCCCTCAGCTGCTTGTGCCCCTGGGTCAAGGTGCTCTTCTTCACTAGGTGCTGTTTCTGCAGATGAGAATAGTAACCAGAGCTCCTTGTCAGACGTCTACCAGCTCAAGGTGGACAGCAGCCCGAACTCCAGCCCCAGTCCCCAGCAGAGCGAGTCCATGAGCCCTGCTCATACGTCTGACTTCCGCACGGATGACTCGCAGCCACCCACACTGGGGCAGGAGGCACTGGAAGGTGGGTGCTGACCTGCATGGGCATGGCTGCAGTGCTGGGAAAGGAGGAGGTGGGTGACCAGGCTGGGGAGCCCGGGGAAGGTCCTACTGGAGCCAGGGCAGAATTGCTCTTGAGTGCTTGTGCGTGTTGCTTGTCTGGAGGCCTCTGTGCCTTTCAGCTTTGCTGAAAGTGGCTAGAGCAGTGGAGGCCTACGTTATCTGGCTGGAGGTCTCCTCTCCTGGATCCTGGGTTGCAGCAGTGGGTTGGCTCACTCTCTGGGCTGGGTAACAGTGTGCTCCTGGGTCTGCAGTGTTGTTAACCCTTCTGTTCCCTCCAGAGCCGTCCCTGCCTTCCTCGGAAGTTGCAGATGAGCCTCCTACTCTCACAAAGGAAGAGCCAGTCCCCCTTGAGACTCAGGTAAGGGAAGGAGGTTTGAAACCTTAGCTAGATGCATATGGACCCAGGTTGGTCCTTTCACCCTAGGGCACATTTACTTTCAAACTGACTGATGACTGCAGTACAGCCCCACTGAGTTCTTTCATTGCTGCCCATTGCAGCAGAAACATCAAGATTGATAGACTTGTTCTGCAGTCCCAAACTGCCCTCTACCCTAAAACTCCCACCTTCCTGAGGTTTTCTGTGGTTCAGTTTAGACATTAAGGCACAAAGTAAGTGTGGGAAGAAAAATGTGGAAATGGAGTAAAATAACGACTATAGCTGACGCCAGGGCTGAACTGCTTTCACTCCTGATGCCCTGTGGCTCAGTAACTGCCTGGTTCTTGCTTAAGCTGACCCACAGATAGAAGCCCAGGGTGTCCCCACAAAGTGAGACACAGCGTTGTCTAGCCTCGGCGTTGCTAGTGATCACTGTGGCCTGGGTCTCGTGGGCATGCTGAGCCCCTGGCATAGCCAGTAACCTCTGCCCTCTGGCTGTTGCAGGTAACTGAAGAGGAGGAGGACTCTGGTGCACCGCCTCTGAAGAGATTTTGTGCCGATCAGAACTCTGTGTGCCACACGGCCTCGGAGAGCTAGCCTGCCCATACCTGGGGATAGCGCCTCCCCCAGCCCCTCGCAGAGCCAGCCTGCCCTTCCTTGGGGGACGGGGTGCTTCCCTCCAGCCTGCCTCTTCCCAGGGGACAGGTCATTCCTGCCACCTTGTGAGCTAGCCTGCCCTGCCCTCAGGGAGAGGTGCCTCCCACCAGCCCCTGCAGAGGCAGCCTGCATTTCCCCCAGGTGGATGGTGCTTATGGGCACCTCATGCCACCAATACCTGCAAATTTGCCTCTATTTATTGGGTCCTTCTCTCCCTGCTAGTCTGTACTATAGTGGTGTGGGGGTCTCTGGCGTATAGTCTGCATGTGCAAGGGGATGAGTCCTCAGGGCTGCTTGCTCTCTGTAGCCCCTAAGGCACTGGCAGATGCTGTTTGCCTGCTTCTGGATCCCCTGCCCGCCCTCCCCATGTGCTGGGAATGGAAGAGCCTTGTTCCACCTGCACTAAGTGATTTGTCTGCTCCCTTGTGACCATATCCTGGAGCTTTTCTGCAGTGAGTGAGATGTGAGAGAAGATGGGAGGGGTGAGAGCACTCTGGGGATAGAGACAAAGGCCTTCCGTGCCACTGGGCAGAGATCCCAAGCTGGGACGCTGTGCAATAAGCTGCTAGTTTAAGCCATTAGTATTGGAAGACGCAGGAGCACTACCACTGTGGAGGGCAGGTACTGTATGCATCAGGTCACAGCCTGCCTCTGCTCTGCAGCCGGGCACTCACAAAGCCTCCCAACCACCCTCTGAAGATGGCATCACTGAGGGGCCTGTGGCCGGAGGGCAGCTCAGCTGGTGGAGGAGCCTGCCTGGCCAGTCGGGTTGCGTGTGTGCCCTGCTCCCCTTCCAGCTGCCCCTGGTGCCGAGTGCCGCAGGACAGGCTGGCAGAGCAGAGGGAGCTGCTCTCCTGAGCCCTGGGGGGGGAGCTCCTGCCACCCGTCTAGGTACACCTCTGACCTCTGGGAAGGGGAAGGATGCAGTAGGGTGTAGGGTCCCCCTGCCCAGGAAGCCCTCCTGCCCTGGGGCTCCTCTCCTCTCCCCCAGCACGGTATGGGGACCTAGTCCCCAGTGCCCCCACGCTCCCTGCCATGAGCACCTCGGCCCCGCAGCACCCACCGCCCTGCGCCCTGGGGAGCCGCTCCTGGGGCTCTGCCCTGGCCACCCCTCCTGGCCCTCCCCCCGCCGCCACC